TATTTTGAAAGAGTTGAATTTCAAAACCGAGCTCATACGCATTCCTGTGTTTAGGTTTCAAAATCTATTGATGCTATGATTAATGAAAATATATTCGTTCGAACCTACCAAATCGAGAACAAGAACCAGAATTATACGAAATGGTAGTAAAACATCAAATTCATATATGTAGCCCACAAAGTTGTGGTGGACCAGCTCCAATGCAAACGATTATTTCCAAGACCGTATTCATCAATAACTTATTATCGAAATGATCAGCTATGTTGCTTGACGATGGGTTGCCACCTGAAACATTACTATTTTGGGATGCTCACATGAACATCCAATACGTAACATCACGTGGTTTAGGCAAATATCTGACAAACTCCCGAACCGGCGCAAACGTTTAATAATTTGGATGGTGACAGATATCGAGAACACATTGTCGTAAGGCGTCTAGGGTCGATGGAATGCATGCTTTTGCTGTTAGGCGAAACCATATACAACTCATCAATACAAGTGAAATATCTTTCTACTGAATGCCTGACATGCGATCTTTCCAAGACCATTAGATCTTATCTTCGATCAAATAACTTATCCAAATTATTTCAAATTTTACAAAATATCTACAAAAACGACCAATCATCCAGAGATCAATCAAACAACATGGTTGTTAAACAAAAATCACTTATAATACCAAGATTTCGTTATTTAAAGATACAAGACAGAGTGATGTTTTTCTATCAGCAGCTGCTTTGCATGCTGCCTTACCGTAGTGAAAGTGAATTGCGCGGCAGCTTCGAATCTTATCGCGATCATTATTTTCACTTAAACCCTCACTTTAACATAACAATTTTATCTGATCAACACGCAACGCACAATCAATCACTCGAGGCCGAATTCAGTACTCTTGTTACGGATTTAATTAATCATCTTGCTACACCAATTTCCTCTAAAATCGCTGACGTATTGGCAATGCGATGAAACTCCTACCACACACACTACCAAATTCCACTATACTCGATTTACCAACTAAACAATTAATACAAATACGCAATATCTGCGACCGGTATCAAACAACAAATATCCATATTTCTTCATCATTGGCTCTGCGGGAACTGGCAAATCATACGTCATAAACTTTGGTTGACTACAAAAAATATCAACTATCTCTTACTAGCTCCCACAGGCGTTGCCGCTCAGAACATAAACGGTATGACTATTCACTCAGCGTTACGGATTCATCAAACAGAAGCGGGATTTCAAACATTAGCATTTTATGATGACGTGTGTTTAGAAATCAACTCATAAAAATTAACACAATAATCATTGATGAAATTTCAACAAGACTTAACGTTCGGTGGCATCAACATAATCATCGTAGGCGACTTAACCCAATTGCCTCCAGTACACGGTGAACCTGTCTCCACTCCTCTATTTTGTCCACTCTGTTTGAGACAACCACGACGTCAACAATCTGATGCAAATTTCTACCAAATGTTACAAGAAATTAGATTGGGCAACATCTCACAAACCATGTGGGATAAACTCACCCAAAAAGCCGCTTCATACAGACCACGCCTCTCATTAGAATCGCTCGTAACAACCACACAGATAAACCGTGTTGTCAACAATGCTTTACCCTTAGAAAATGAAAATTTTGCTATATCTGAAGCTATAGACTTTATAAGCGGCATTCAGCAGGATCCTGAAACTGTACAATCGGTTTTTAAACTCAAACCAAATCTGCCGCCATCTGTACGTGATCTCGGATAATGTATTTAACAACTCTTTAATGGAAAAAGGTATTTGTAACGGCGCTATCGGAATCATTACTGATTTCGATAAAGATACATTATTCGTTCAAGTAGCATTTTGCGTACAAATGCAATAGTCTACATTGGGTACCAAAAACACACTTCTTACTTTTATTCATCAGGACAGAAAGCATCGCGTACTCAATTTCCCTTAAAAAACTCGTTCGCTTTAACAATACATAAGACTCAAGGTCTCACTCCACAAAACACCACTATATCTTTGAGTGACATATTTTCTCCAGGCCAGGCACATGTTGCTATTAGCAGATGTTCCTCTTGGAATAGCATAAGCATCAGCGCGCTACAACAAGACTGCCGCTACGATATTTCAAGAAAATGATGATATAGATGTATTCAGTGCAGTAAATGGACTTTTTTTCGTACTATTACTATTGTCGGCGGGTTTTTTCGCGTAACAACAGAACCCTACGATCAAACCACCAAATTGGGATTCGAAATTTAAATTACTTATTATTATACAAACGAACCATAAATACCAACTTATCACCCGATCCAAAATACTCGGGCGAATTTTTAACCGCTCAAATAATCCCGCACACAACCATTACATAAAATCGCCCATACGAACATACACTTATTCGCTTACTCACAACATAACAAAACTTCAAAACACCTGCAACGAATACGAACAACTCTTCCACAAATAAACCATTCATTGTACGAAGCGTGCCACTCACTACCATCCTTGTTCTTTAAAATTTCTATCGCTAAAAATTTGAACCAAAAATAGGCAAATAAAAAACCAGTAAAAATACTCATCTAAAAAAACAATACTAATTTTTAATTCTCGGTTAAATTTTTTATTTTGTTTAATTTCTGCTTGTCGCTTATTATTATCTGTTATCAATTTATTAATTATTGATCAATCCAAATTAAGTCTCATCTCCGAAAACTTGAAACACCAATCTAAAATGCAATAGATATTTTTTGTTTAAGTCTAATCATAAAATCATCTGCTTTTGTCAAGAAAACGACCATTTTTTTATAGAAAATCAAGGAATGTATTCGAACTTTCTTAAAGTAGTAAAATATTTTGTCAAACCAAAAGAAATCTTTCTCTATCTACCAATAAAAATTTTCTAAAACTTTCCATGCAATGTCGTGAGATATTACGCAATTTCTCTTGAAAGTTCCATTCCAAATAGGCGTTATTTGGTGAGTTTGTTTGTAATAATGTTTTCCTAATAAAGTCATCGAGTTGAGTGTTCTTGCTTGTCCATCCATCGCGTAATTGCTTATTTCCGCAATATGCACTATACTGGACTACATCGGAGTATACGTCATATTTGGTAAACCCCTTTATTAATTCGTTGCGACTCTCAAGCCAGGTGGAATATCGTTTGTATTGGCTGACATTATCGTTGAACGTGTGTATTGGAAGTGAATACTGTATAAAAACTCATTCACAAGTGATGGAATACATTCTTTTTTGCTTCTAAGCAACACCAACGTCATCATCGTTTCCGCTGTTTTTGTGAATAGCGCAATAAAAATTGTCGATTTGTATGCCGGTATTATCTGAGTAAGAAATTCATCCGAGTCTCAAGTTTTACGTTCACTTTCCAAGGAGCATGAATCAAGCTGTCAATTGGTGAGCAGGTCCCTAAAACTAACGACATCGTTCTTAAAGTAAAAAAATTTCGATAGATACTTCGGAGACTATTCTGAACTCATGTTACATAATTTCTGTGTAATCTTAAATCTATGCTTTGACACAGGAATAAAATTAAAAAAATCAGCAAGTCTATTCTCATTACTGCATACGTATTTCGCAACAAATTTCTCGACGTAAACTGATTCAACATTCTTTATAGAGCAAGCTTCTTTTCGATATCGCGTCTTAGTATTGGTAGTGAAGGCATAGACATTTCTTATAAATACACGCACGATTTGTCAAGGACTTTCTTATGCATACAAGTTATATAAAAAAATCGTATAAAATTCTTCTGCAAGAATTGAAGTTTATGCTAAAATATTCTAATATAGGAAACAATGGCATCAACCATTAATATTAATATTAGCAAAACAGGTTAACACCATGCATCATCGAGTGATGAAGGTAGTTATTTACTATACGTTATTTGTGATGCTTTTTACGCTTCCAATCACAGACACAATCAAGGTCTTTCCCATGGATTTGTTACGCCCTGTCAATTGTGGGGGAAGGACTAACGCTTTTTGTCGACACTAATTTTTTCGAAACAATCGCCGCAACATGGCTGCTTTATTTTGTCCGGACATCTTACTAGTAACAACAAACGCGTGTTTTTGGATACATTAGAGAAGGTTCTCTGCGGAGTACGCCGCATGGGATGATTGATGACAACCGACGCGTTCTATAGGTTGACTTACGGCTAACAGCACTAACTGATTTTCAGACTTGTACTTGTAAAGAGTTGCATCCCGCGAGGTGAAGAGAAGAAATTAAAACAAAAGCACTCTTAATATTGCATTGAATCGAACATAATGCTATCTATTACTCGTTACTTCAAGTGCTCAATTTTTAAACTTGCAATTTAGGAAACCGTCTTTCATGGAATCTAACCATCACAGACATGTATTCAATAATCGCTTGGTCACTTTGTAAACTTTCTCCAGGAGTATACGATTGTTTGGACGTGAGCATGTATAAACAACTTAACTTATAAACAAAATACTACTATCGTTTTGCGTTGAAGACCATGCACGTTTAAATTTTATTGAAACATGGAGTCGGTTTAAAGTAGTTTTCGACAATATTTTGATGGCAACATGGTAGGTCCAATAGGCACTAATGAATCTTTTCGTTCCATTCATTACGCGATTTTCGGAAGAAGAAATTTTAATATTCGTATCAACTTATATAGGCGTTTACGGAAATAACTTCTTCGTGTTCATTATACGAATAATTCAGGGGAAAATGATCGCAATACTCGCCACACGCATATTGCCAGTTCTAGGTATTTCGAATTATTATTTCTATGACGTCAAGGGATGTGAACGACGTTTTTACTATCATGAGCTGAGCAAATGGCAAAGAAGTAACTTTTACACAAAGAAACTAGAATTTTCAATATAACATTGTATGTGATTTACTGGACTGGTCGTGTTCGCAGCCTGTAATCAGTTCACTAATCTTTATTATTTACATTCAATCCTCTACCTTTTCAAACATGCCAATGGGACATCAACTATCATACTCTCTTAACGATCTCTAAGAACATCAAAAACTTTTTCACCCAAGCCAGATTCATTCATGAGGCGCCATATTTGCCTTTCAGCTTCATAGACTCCATCAATGACTGGATCGATGATGGAGGTGTGAGCATCCACTGAACGTAGATGAGAAGAGAGAGAGAGTTTAAGATTCGATAACGGATCGGGCGACGATGGTGACTAATTGATGGGGACGCATGAAGATCAATAGAATAGGAATTGTTAATAGTGTGGGTGGAAACGGAGAAATCGTTAGTTTATCTTTCCACACTTACAGTTAATGGAACGTCTGTAGTCACATGAGTAAGATATTGTTTGATTAAGTCGTTGTCGACATCAACAAGATCATCCGGATCTTCCACTTCCTTCAATAGGGGATGAAGCTATATATTTAATTCGACCAGATAATAGATTTGATCAATTTTCATGGTAACGTACATCACACATTTTATACATAATACGGCTATAGTCACCTTCGATCTCTGCAAGGACCGATTTCTTGAATCGACCGACTTCTTAGCACTTTGCAAGCTCTTTAAGAATTCCGATTCTTCTTTCAACAGTCTATATAAAAAAAAGACTGCTTGTATATCAGTCTAATCTTCCCTACCCAACTCCCGCCAAAACAAAGATGCTCACTGCTTTTCCTTCTCCAACTGCATTTCCATTTGTTTTATTTGGTCCGTTTCCTGTACCAGTAAAGCTTCAAGATCTTGCTTGTAGATGTAAATTAATGTAATAGTAATGTTAACAAATCGTTTAACATACAGTAAACACGATAATGAGACAAAAATATACATGATGAGAAGATAACTTCTTGTAATCGAGACTACTAGTTTCGCTTGTAGCCTTTGGAACAGTTACGGTATCCAGAGATTTACTTATTCTAGTGAGGCATAAACAGGATGTCAGACAAGCAACAGAAAGCGACATATCTGTTATTATTTACCGCATAATCAACTTGTCCAATTCAGTCTGCAGTTTCGTCCTCCATGAGGTTCCGTTTACATGGGCCAAAACAGCTCTTGAAGAAGTATAGACAGGCAACAATAAGAATCTCTGCAAATGTACTTCTCCCACATATTCTTATCCACAACTATTCTCTCATGCCTAATCATGAGCGCTTATACTAGAGAACAAAAATTCAATCGCTACTCACGGTACAGAATTTCGTAACAGCTTGTTGACAAATCGTTTCGACGCAGGGTCAAGCGGCCTCCATTTATTCTTTACTATTGATGAAGACACTGAACGTATTTCCTTTACAAGTGTCGATGATGAAGCAGGGGCTACAAAATTAGGGATAGTTAGCTATAACGTTTTGACATTCAACCCACATTGTCGCTATCCCTGTCTGCACCTTGACTATCGGAAGGTTGAAAGCCGGAGTCGGAATCATCATATTCAACGTCTTGCATTTCTTCATCCTCTTCATTTTCTTTCATTTCTTTAACGACTCCAATTCCATTCTTCTCTTGATACTCGTACTCACCATTACCATTCTCTTCACCACTCTTTTCTAGTGTCCAATCGTCACTTTCCTCGTCATCTAAAACAACTCTTGCCCTCTTAGACCTTTTATTACTACTCTGGCGTCTTAAAGGACGTGTATTTTCTTCCACAATTTCGCAATCCAATACACCAGCTATGGTATCTATTGTTTCTCTCCGCGAGCTTATTAGTGTTGTTATTCCAACCATTAATTCATCTGGGAAAAAATC